CCCGCGGTAGCGCACTCTGCGAGAATCTTCGCTCCTTTTCGAGGAAGATGGTGGCTTCTTGGAAGTATATTCTTCGCTAACCTTAAACAATTGTATTTCTGGGTCCCACCCACCTTTTTTCGGTTATACTCACATTGTTATCGTGATTTGTGGCCACGCTGTACATAAAATCAAAATCAAATCAAATCAAAGTAATTTAATTGCTCATAATGGTTGAAATAAAATCATAATTAGCTTGCTACTCACAGTTTCCATTGTTGAGAATCTTCGCGAAAATTCGTTTTTTAGTTCGCCCTGTCCGTCCGCCACATCTCGTGATAAAGTATTCGCGACCGTTCCGATTTTCTCATTAAGCCGCTTAATTTCTGCTACCAAATTTGCCTGGAAGTAAGTTTCGTAATGTAAAAGATATGGATTGAAAGAGCTAACACAACAAAGATGTTTCCTTCCTACCTTATCTGCATTGTTCTTTTTTGCAAGATTGGCTATCGCCTCCGCTCCTGTGGCGTTTTGTTCCCGGACTACATTCTGTAGGCGTGTAAACCTGGTAGGAGGCTCATAAAACAAACTTTCTAAATCAGGAAATTTCATGAGTATTTCGACCATCGTCACTTATAATTCTTCTGCAGTGTCCGGAGTACATTAAAAACACAGTGCGCTTTTTGGTTTTTCGTTTCTTAAATCAACTTTATGCGAAACTCCAATTCAATAGATCAGCAGCACTGAAACATTTCTTTACGTTGCTCCTAGTTGAGCTTCCGCACAAGAATCCCACTAGAAACAACGACTCCCCAAAGACAAATCAGGCATCGTTGAAATTCGGTCTAAACTGGCAGTCATGACCAGGTGGTCATGATATTCACGTGATGACCGATTTTCGATATCTCAAGTAACCGTGTAGGAACTCTATACTCTCCTTAGATTCCTCATCAGAAAAGTCTAGGTGAGTGACCCCATGGATTGGCTGTCGGATGATAGGGAGCACTGTCCGTTTGAGATAAATGAAGAATGTGGCAGAGAAGGTAGAAATAAATGCAACGAGTCAAGAAGCAGGCTGTACATTGAGCGCGCCCTTCTCAAAAACATTGAGGAGTGGATTTTTGACCATGACAAAGGCTTGCTAGAGCTACAGGCAACTTTCTGAAAGGCGCAAAATGAACGCACAGAGGAGATAAAACTTTGGCCTTAACAACATGGTTCTAACTTCTCATCCGGTTGGCTAACGAACCGCATTAGCTGCGGCCTCGGCATCGCTCATCATTCAAGTGATAGCGTGGTCCTCGATCTTCTTCAGCAGTTCAAAACCTTTGTTGATAGATGGGCAGCAGATTTGGAAGACAACTTTTTAATCAGTGCTTAGAGAAGACTCAGTGGTCTTATTCCAGAACCACTTCCACCTACCATCCTTCTATGCTAATTTCATGTGTCCTCGGTCCTTCTTGGTACATCACGAACTTCACCTCTGCCTTTCCAAGTGGAACAGACAGATTGGCCTTCATTGGTAAACGGCCTCCTCTTTTAAAACATCACTGACACAAACCCTTACAGAACAACGTGAGTGTCATCAAAAAGCTTATCATGTGAGCAAAAGGCATCGCCACAGCAGCAACAGTGAAGCAAGTGCTTGCAAACAGCGTTGCTATTCAGGCGCACGCTAAGAAAATCCAATTCCCCTATACACTAAACCATACTCATTATTCATTACGCTCCTAGCATCAGCAGGCAGTATGTGTACTCCGACTACATGAGTCGTTGTAGAAGAGCAGTTTCGAAATGCCAGACACACTTAGTAAGGTGCCTAGTTGGTATGATTCAGCTGAAGCCCTTCAGTTGGTATTGAACTTTATTTTCCTTCTATCGTTCGCTCCTCCTTGGCATTCGGCGATGAGGCAGCATTGTAGTCCATACATTTGAGATAAATTACGATGACATGTTTGAAACGGCGGGAATGGTTTAATTAGTGGAAGATGCTCTGGAAATAGTGGAATCCCACGTATATTAATTTAATACTGTTAGAACACAGATGTTACTAGATGAGTTAAGTAAGCAGTTCCTAGCGCAGGTCGCTGGTCGATATTTGCAGCTTTAAAGAGAAGGCATTATACTTCCAGAGCTTCTACAGAGTCTTCTTAAGTTTTTCACTGAAGCGAGGATGCAAGATTCGACAGCAACACAGTTTTCCAATTTAGCAGGAGTGGTGATATGTCAGAGCCAGGAGCAGCAGCTCCGAAGCACCTCTGCAAAGGATTTCATCGCATGGTTCCCGTTCTACTTGGGCTCAGACCGATACCCCAATGTGTCACTGAAAAGTTTGATTCCAAGATCTAATTTCCGCTGAAACAGAGGCGGTGTAGTGAAAAGAGGGGTCGTCTCCGCGTACACGGTCTTACGATAAAATCGCGGCTACTGTATATGTTGCATAGGTCAATCGAATCTCCACAGATGCATAGTCGCTTCTAGAGTGAATGGTTGCCGCACGATGCACATTAGTAAACTTATTTTTGAAAAGTCTTAGTCTAAGAACTGAGCAAGAAACCCTGCCAAACAATCGTTCATATCACTATTGCTATCCCATTAAAATGACGGTAAAAAATGTAGATTATAAAAATGGAACTGATCCTCAATGCTGATATTGTATCCGCTTACTTGTCAAGAAGACCACTTCTCTTGTTTGAGCCGTTCCTCTTTGTCCGTACTCATTGTCTGCCTGAGTAGTAGTACTTGTGAGTTCAAGTCTCTCATCTTTGCATCCATTTGATGCGTGGAATTGGCCAGCTTCTGGAAAATAGTGCAACTGAATGCAGTTGAACCGTAAGATTCTTGCCACTACTTCCATTCTGCAAAGTAGAGGTATCACGGGCTCTGTTGTTTGCCGTGCACCGCTCACCTTTAGCTATCTACTTTAGCTACTCATCAAGCATTTCTGACATCCAGCGGATGTCTCTTCATGGGACGATCCAAACTTCTACGAACATAAAACCGATAAAAAATTTATTCTGTCATTATCTCTTACACAATACTTCGGTGACCACTTTGTGAAACGTCTACAGATTCGTAGTACTAAGACAATTTTTTATCATTAATGTCGGAAAAGATTTGTCGGTATGCCATTTTGTGGAATATTACGAAGCGTTTTTAAAAGCGAGTTTACGATGAAAAGAAAGCCCACAAGAAAATGTAGAGGTGGTCAGTGATGCTGGAGTGAAGAAAAACCAATAAGATGGGCGGTCTAGAAACCGGAGAAGTGCGACCACTTTCTGCCGTTGATGCGCGTTAGGCTTGTCTCATCGGCGCTAATCATTACGAACGCTAACGCTTCCTCTTAGAGCGGCTAAAGTCAGACAGCGAGAGGGTGTGCCCGGCGCGTGCGGCGCTGGTATGACCCTGCTATGTCGCTACGAAACGCGCGTGGTCCCTCACTCTTGGGTACCCGCCCACCTTATCGATTAGGTGTGTTTCATGGAAGATAACATCAAATGACTATAGAAGGACATAGGGACCGAGAAACAGTGCGCGATATTAACCGCCACTCTGCTTGTTGTTGGACATAACTTCAGGGGGATTAGTAAATTCTCTCACCTGTCGACTGGTTTTGAGGATATCACGAATTATACTATTAACACAAATTATAAAACATATCGAAACCCAGTTGGTGGCGCCCGGATTGCGCGTACCAACCAGATTAGCGCGCGAGAAATTTTTGATTGCGCAAAATTTTCAATCGGTTGATACACAGGAACATCTGATCTCCGCTACATGTCTAATCCGCATCCATCATCGACACGGCTTTCAACCTCTCTTGTCACCATTCATGCTCTTCCCGGGCTGCCGGAACTGCTTCCGGGATAAACCTCGTGCAAACACACTAACAGATAGGTGCGTGCTCCGGCCACCAATCTGGGTGTGTTGGCCACTAATAGCAGTTGAACACTCCCATTTACTCTCAAGACCTCGCACCACCACATTTTCCATGCTAAAGAACTTTTGGAGCCAGGTTCTAACTATCGTCGCAACTCGCTGACGTTTGAGTCAGCTCCGCCCACGGAGCAGGTTGGACTCTACGTCTCGTGACCGGCACGCTGCTATGCATCTTTTTTGTCACTGGGCCTCCGGACTTAATGAGCCAGCTTTGAATTGGTTTGGCGGTGCGCAATTCGCCCGAAGTTTGGCCAAGATAGGCCCGGGCCCGCGGATCTGCCTTGGCACTCCGTGGCCATCCAGCCCGGTACCGGCTTTTGTCGCGGACTCATTAGGAGGAGCTTTCCCCCGGCGGCGAGTGTATCGAGTACCGTGTAAGACGAATGCTGTACACTTCAGCATGTAAATTGGTGTCATGCGTGGAGGTCCTTGGGTTGTTGTCGCCATCCGGGAGTTAGAAGTATGCAAATCACTGTTTTCGGCAGACGCTCGCCACCGGGGGTGGGTCTCCCTAATTCGATGTGACTTACCAATGCACACCTTTACCCACACTTTTGGCCCAGTTTCGAGGTTGTTTTGTCACTGAAATCGAAAATCTTGGTCTTCGGTACAAGTTCATTTCGACGCACGCCACGCCCTCTGTGGGCGGGGCTCCGTAGCTGATGTGTGTTTTGTAGTACTCGAGACCTGGGCCACTACCACATTCCGGTCTCTCCAGGTGAATCCCTAAGAGCTAGGGAATTTCGTGACAGACACACAGACGACAGACAGACGAAGCGATTAATAGTAAGTAGGATAACCTTCATAGTTTAAACATGAAATACTCACCACAGCGTCTATGTTAGGTTTGCTCTTCATTTCTTGGACAACCATCATCAGATTCTTTAACTGGAGGTCTGTGGTACTTTTCAACTTGCCGATTTCGCCATTTATTGTCATGATCTGAACAAGCTTTGATGCACTTTCGATTTCTTGTGATGTGAATAACGCCACTCACCTTCTCCCTTGTAGACGATATTTGTTGACGTAAGTCCTCATAGTTAAATACTCTATAATAAGTTAGCATTTCTTGTCCTGTGGTATGAATGAAAACGAGTGTAACAATGACGGGCATTTTGGGAAGAGGTACATAAATGTCGTGGATACTGAATGAGGTAATACTGAATGAGGCGTCTTATAACAATTTTGAATCTCCCAGAGATATCACATCATTCACATTGTGAAGAACGATCCGGAACGAGTTAATGAATTTGCGAGCAGTTACCACTTAACAACACTTGGAAGAGATGTTAGGGTAATGAAAGAAGCCAGCTGTCCATGCTTTGCTCAGCAGGAGATACGAAATTCTTGATTCACTCAAACATGGGTGCGTTATCTCTCGCAACCTATTTAGCGCGTGAACTTCTACGTAACTGCTCGTCAATTCTTTATGTAGGCATTAGTCAAGCGTCGATGGAGCAATAAGGGATAATCTCGGTAACTGCTGCATGCTTTATGCTTCTGCCACAAGGCTGTAGGTGAAAACTTTATTTCGGTCAATATTTAGACCTTAAGATGGGTTTCAAAATCCTCAGGTTATACCGCTAGAGTGTAGTACTACACTCGGCAAGTTCATCATCAGCAACTCTAATTACTTTCACTACTGACGAACTTATTGAGTGTAGCCCTACACTCCAGCGGTGGAACTTATGGCCTCTGAAAAGGACGTGAAGGTGGAAAGGTTGACCGAAATAAAGTATCCACTCAAAAACCTCGTGACAGAAATACCCAACAACAACAAAGTATGCCAAGGTTCTAAGATGGGACAGCTTGAAGGCTTCTTTTAGGTAATTTCCGAAAAGTGCATAAGAAAAAGTTCCATGAAGCCCCATAGTTGCGTGACCCCTTCCTGAGTGCTCGCATCATTACTGATGCTCTTGTGTAAAACTTGTTTCCAGCTCCCACACTTCCTTGAAGGCAAAAATAACCCAGGCAGAGGTCGTGTGAACGCTTCCCTTCGGTCTGTAGTATAGACCCTAGAGGACAATCACAAATGTGGCGTTCCCGTGCACGGAAACCAACCGACAAGAGCGCTTGGGCCTTGCAAAGTAAGCTGCTGAAGCTGCAGATTTTTTCTCTTATCAGGCTGTTGTCTGGCGCTCTCTCATCTGTAGCGCTCTCTCGCCTCATACTCTCCTCTCCGCGCTTAGTCTCTCATTCCCTTAGCACAGCCGATTAGGAAGGTGAGTGAGCCCTTAACCTAAGCGTTTTCGACGGATTCTTTTCCTTTTTCTTCACTGCCGGCCCATTTCGCACCAATACATTCGCATTCGTGTGCAAGAACCACACCAATTTATCCTGGGGCATGCCTTTAAGAATACATGCGTGCAATGCTATGCGCGATAGCGTTGACTACACTTTAATGATGACTCTTGAAAATTCACCTGGCATGAGGAGACATTCCCCGAGACGAGCTTTGATTTTGCAATGCCTGGAATCAATTAATTCAGAGTTTGCCTGCTTGTTCTACACACATTTAGTGAGAACATTTTGATTTGAAATAATGAAATAATAACAGTTGCCAATCTATGCATGGCACCTACTTGATGAGCATGCAGAAGTTCGTTGTTTTGCCGTTTTAGTTCGTCCAGCTGGTCTTGCAGATGCATTCTCGCATTGTATGAAAGTTGATCAGATGCCGTTCTCTGCATCTTTCCATTATCAGCCTATGTACTAGGTAGCATTTTGGCGGCGAGTTCGCGCTGTGAAACGTTGTGAACGCACGTGATTTCGTTTTCCGGTTTCAGTGGCCTATACAGTGAACCAAGACCACTACACTGGTGAAGTGCATACAGCACTGAACAATGGACGTGCGAAAATACGTCAACGGACGACAAATCAGATTGCTTTGTGCGCTAATTAAAATCCTGATGGTATTTTATCCTCTCAGCGCGACCGTCTTCATCTCTTATTCGCAACACACGGTGACCTGGGAGGCATGCATGGGAGGATGTGCATTCAATATAAAATCTGAAGGGCCTCGTATTCTGTAAACTACAAAAAGTAAGGAACTGTTTGTAGCGGAGAAATGTTCAGATGATTGAAAGCAGAAGCAGGAGAAAAGGAAAGAAGCTGAGGAATCATGTACAACTTCTGTCCTCTCGGTGCTATCAAGTCCGAATGCTAGCAACGTTTATTTGTCTCTGAAGCAATACGCTCAGTGGATTGTCCTCGCTCGAGGAAGATGGCCTTTTTCCATCTCTCCGCTAAAACCATTCGTGATCGAGCTGACCGTTGGGCCATTGCCTCTGTAGTTCGCTTGACATAGTGCAAGACGCATTTCGTTCTTCTGTGGAGCTTAGTTTTTTTTCGAGTTTTTTGCTTAGTTTTTCGTAGTGTGCCTTTCCCGACCTAACCAGCATAGGTGAAGTTTTCATTCACAATGTTCGGCTCGTTCCGCGGAATGGGGCTCCAGAGGACAGTATCTTTTTATGAAAATTCACATCGATTGATTCAGCTTTGAAGCGTTTCCACTTCCTTTGTCGAAATCAGCCAACATTAGATGGATGTACGTTGTTGCAGTCCATCTCGGAGCGGATGAAGAAGCATTCCCACAGATACGCTGGCCCCGCGACCGACTGCGCAAGCATGGAAGTTTGTCGTCTGTACTTGGAAGGAAGCTGTGAATGCGCCTCCATCTGACATGACTGACCCTGGTAATCTTCGTAAATGCCTTTTCCACGCAATCCTTGCTTTGAGGTAATGAGAGATGTGACCCACATCTTAAGACTTAGCTTCTTTGCGGCTCTCCAGATATCGGGAACAGCTTCGTTCGATGGTTCGCTCCCATGTGTGAAAAACAGTGATGTCGATCAAGGAAAGTCTACGATTGAAGAGGATGTGGTCTATGTCTTTATAAAAGAACCGTTGGATGACCTCCAACTTTGGGATGCTATTTTCGATATAATGAACTCAGATCAGCTCCAGTCGAAGTCCTTTATTCTGCTCATTGCATTCCTTTTCGAGAGACACGACGTAAAATACGTCACCCATTTCCTGAGACCAATGTCAACTGGAGTTGCGGCAAAAATCCTGGACAAAGGTGTGGTCTTGCAAGGAGAAGTCACTGATTCCGTACAAAATGACTTCGAAGTCGGCTGCCTCACTTGGTCATTAATTCAATTTTTATCACAAACGCAATCGCGATTGCAACTTTCGTATCGGAGAGTTAGATTTTCGTAGAATCGATAATTATAGCCAAGAGCCTGTTTACAAGCATACCTATCCCACGAAGGTCTGTGATACCCTGTGTACCGGGCCCAGTTCTTCACCGATCGAAAATGTTGTGCGGCGGGCGGTGCCATTCGCGTGTCGGTCAGTCCGTTGCCATTATACCCGATCTCCTTGACTTGCGTCATCTCGTTCGATATGAATTTAGAATGGAAGCGTCTGTGTGTAGAAAGAACAGATAGCTATCGTTTCGCTGTCTTCCCCTAGACCCATGAATGCAAGCTCATAGCTATGTCCACATGAGAGATCGCACTAAATACGTGTGCTTGAACGGGGAATGAGCCAATTCAGTGATGTAAACAGGAGGAACAGCAAACGTCCAATGCTGAAGTGGTCTTTCTCGGAGCAGATACGAATGGCTTTTGGCTTCCGAATCATCCTTGTCCGCCAATTAGCCTCATCACCATTGCTGCCAACTTCGAGTACCTTCATCACCATTGCTGCCAACTTCGAGTTTTCCGGAGAAAGCGAGCACTCAGCAAAGAAGGTACTTGAGGGGAATCCGGTGAAAAGCAGCAGAGCAATATTATAATATACGCGAGAGTACGAAAATGGCGAGTAGTTTTTGGATTCCTTCATCGATTATACAATCCTTCCTCAGGTGCATACCTTTTGAGAATAATATGGGCTTCGAGTTGCTCCTTCTCTCGTGGTTCCTATCTGCGTAATAACTTCGTATAGCATACAGACAGGAACTCAGAAGATAATGAATTCAATTTGTATTTTCTTCAATTTTCGAGGAAACCATTTCCGCCATTTACGAGTTTTTCACTTCACTTTCTTGGTACATCAAAACTTGACAAATATGTGCAAAATAATTACTGGCAACATGTTTCCTTTTATAATGAGTACCTGTATAAGTTGCCTTTGAGTTTCTGAGGAAATGCGACAAACGCATTTTCCTTTTAATCTACATCGTCAACTTTTCAATTCCTCAGATTGTTTTGCCACCAACAAAACCAGAGCCAAGTATTGATCCGAGTCTGAAAACTCATCATTGCATAACTCTGTAGAATGATCTCCCTTTCGGAGGAAAATTAGGATCTAAATTTTGAATCTGGTCCTTTTGTTATGCCCCCAAATTACATTCTAATACCGCATGGCGACCGCGTTCACAATATCGCGCCGGCCCGTCAAGGCAAATGGAAGCCAAAGGTCGTCAACATGTTAAAGTCCATCGACAAATGAAAGCCATCACGGCCGATAGGTACCACATGCATTGACACAGTGTTAATTGTTGGACAGGAAATTCAACACTGTCTTTCGTCTGTCTTTCGTAACATTCGTCTTTAACGCACACGTACAGGACTTACTCGATTCATTCACTGAATGAGAGTTGTCGTGTCCTACCTTACGAACCTACACTCTAATAATTCGATGTTGCCCATTACTTTCAATAATTGCGCTGGTGTAAGTTGACGATCAAAGGAGGAAGCAGAAGCTGTAGTGAGTGCATTAGAATATAGAAGATTGAGCAAGAATATAACTGTTGACTTCTTCGCTCGTGGCTGAGAAATTAGAAACTGTACTGCTTTCAAAAGAAATACCACCCCGGTCTACGCTGCTCGTTCATGTAAGCGAAAGACGTCATTGAGCAGATGAAGAACAACACATGTTCTTTTAGCATTATGAAGCCGGACCACACATTGTGGACAAAGGAGAAGGAAGTAGTCATCACCGCTGGATTATCTTTTCTCACCATCCCACTCTTTGGCGGAAGTGGTGTAGTGACAAGTGGCGCGCTTACCACGCGAGCGGTCCGGGATCAAATCCTCGTCCCTCCGGGGTCGGTTAATT